CCGCATAATAAAATACTACACCAATTATTCAACATGACGACCATTCTGGCCAGAGATCTATTCGACAAGTGTGCAGAATGCTTTAGACTTTTAACAAGGAAACCACGGATGGCTTTTATACACAAAAACACATACTTATGGAAAAAAAACAGCTACTCTTCCAAAAGTCGTCCAAATAAATAAGTAGCTGTTTTTTCCATAAGCATGTGTTTTTGTGTATTGCTCTATCCAGTTACTAAATGCCTCTAAAAGATTATCATGGTTTTGATATTCCAGATATCTTGAGCGGGGATTATAACAAACGTATATCCACGCTAAATCTATAAAATGAAATATATTTGCGAAATAATCTTAAAATGTTATGCGGGGCTTTTAAATCTATGTGATATTATGGCAAGGGACAACAGATACATTTTTTAAATACACAGACCAGACATGTCTCCGACAAATTAACAATACCTTGATAAATATGAAATACCTAGCTCATTTATTCAACGTTTTATGGGTCTAAAATCTCCATTTTCTAACAACCGCAAGAATACAATGATCATTTAAATACTGCATCAAATACAAACTAAATAACACCATTACTGTCTTATAAAAATAAAACTGGTTATTATGAAGTTAATAAATACATTTCCTATATGAGATAAACACATATATATATATATATATAAATTTCTGACGATATAATTACTGTATATATTGACAATACTTTCCTTCTTCGGGTCAGAAAAAAAGGTGGAAGTCGTTCAGAAAATATCATTCACGATAATTCAAAATATCTTCTTATTTTTTAAAAAAAAAAAAACAACCCAAACACGTGGACTTCCTCAATTTAAAATATATTTAAGACACTTTACTTATTTGGCAAAATAAAATTTTTATGTTTAAAAAACTTACACCGTGTTTTTGATAATTGAAAAAAATATATCTTGCAGAAGGTCAAATGTCAGTCTTTTTGTAATTCATAACAAAAACAATAATCCATATTTAGTTGCCTGGTAACTTACGTTTATACAAGTAGAATATTTTTTACTGCCTTTTAAAACGAAAGTTGTCATAAATCAAATATTGTAATAATATTAGGATTGTTTATGAAATAGGTGAGGATAGAATTAACTAACAAACAGTGATGGAGGCGCGGGGTGGTGGGGATATTCAGTAATACTGTTGTAGAAATATATCGAACAGAATATAATGACAATGGTTTATTGCAATAATTAGAGCAAAAAAACCCACATAAACCCTTGTCAATAAAACCCCTTTTCGTCCACATAAACTCTTGTCCACATAAACCCTTGTCCCCAAAAATCCTTGTCCACGTCCACATAAACCCCTTGTCCACACCATCGATACAAATAATTGATTCCGACACACCCCATAACATCACACATTGATCTGTTTTCGCGTACTAATTTTTTTTTTTTTTTTCATGAAGTTTGTTTAAATTTCTAACTATGGCTGTATCTCACATCGATTTGACGATGATATTTAACAACACACCGAATAACAGCAAAGATGTTTTTACACAAATAAATTGGTAAAGAGATTTTGAAATTACTCCTAATGTAAAACCAAAGATAGGTATCGTGTTTAAATTTCCCCAAAAGCTTTAAGACACAAGACGCAACGTAGTGACATACGACAAGTGGTGTACCAGTGTCGGAACAATATACATTGTTAAATATGCTTATTAAAAAATCCTCCGAGTATAACCAAACTATGTCGTATGCCATGACGTCATTAAATGATATTGCGTGACGTATTTTTTGCAAGTTCTTGAATATTTGGAAAATATTATGTCGCCATTTTGTCGTGTTGAAACGTTTCTAAGACCCCCCCCCCACTCTCACCGCACCCCTCGCCCCTTGCCCCTTGCCTCTATTATGGTTTCGAAAATGATTATATATTTTACACATTCTTGAATATTCGTAAATATTTCGCCATTTTGTCGTGTTGAGACGCCGATCATACAACATCGACTATAAATACTTCAGCCGCCATTTTACAACTTAACTGCATGTCAAATATATCAATAAATAATATAAACACGTTTTAATCGGGATAATAAGGATAATCCACCGTAATCCTTTACACGAGCTGTTTTAATCCGGTTTAATCTGCTGAGTTTAAACCATGTAATTAAGTGCCGTGACAGGCGAACATCATTTAGGACATCAACAGGAAAATATGAAGTCGCCATGTTATCCATCACCGGCCTAATTATTGGGTTTTAAAACAGATGATAATTTTCATGTCATCAACCTCTTTTTGTAAAGATGGCGACAGTGTCTACCGGATGCCGTCTGCTCATTAAATTTGTTTTCCTTTTGTTTCAATGCGCGCAAGCTTGTCCGTTCTGTCATGTTACATTTTTTGTTATATTTTTTTGCGGAGTTCCCAAACACTGCTTTATTTTCTCATTTTGTTTTTCGAATTATCAATTTGTTCCTGTTTATTGTTGCGCAATTCCCAGCAATGTCTACCGACGAAAAAAATTAAATAATTATATCGTTTCTTTTTATTTTTTTTTAAAATATTTTATGTCGAGGTTTATTTTTTACTTCCTTTTAAATTAAAATTCTGAAATGTTATCTAGTTTCGAAAACATTTTTGAAACATTACCGAATTTTTTAGATTGTTTTTATATACGATTTATCTTTCATTTGTATTGTTCCAAAACAAAATCAGCTTATTCGCTGTTTAGATTCAATATTGAATAAGAGAATTACGTGTATAATAAAACTAAAGACCAAGACAACTTAAAAAAAAAAAAAATATAGCCTACCAAAAAAATGTCCATTGTTCATTTCTCTTAATTAATAGATCTCATTTGAACTCGAGATATTGTACTATTGTATTTTGAAATCGCAATATCGTAAAAGTGAAATTTCTGAGGAAATTAAGAAATATTTAATTTAAGCCATTGCTATAAGCGCTATAAAATCCCGTTATCTTGAATGGCCAGTAATTAGTGCGTCCGTGCGTCTGTCGGCAAATTCGTGTGTTCGTTCTACCGTTTATATGACATTTGGTTGGCGGGTAAAATGTAGCCGGATCGCACGCGACTGAATTCTCTCACCCATGACGTTTCACTTGTCGTCTTAATGACGTCACGCCCCTGACCTTACAAAATAAAATGGCTATGATTAGGTTTTGTGTGTAGATTAAAGAAAGCCAGTGAATTGTTATACACCGTGTAAGTGATCAAAAATACATGTAGGGGTCATGTTTTCATGGATCAGTAAACACGCACGCGCCGTTTGAAACCTCTATCAATAGCCGAACAATAGCACCAACTATATTTGCAAACAATTGAAGGGGAACCGACAATGACGACCCGGACTCCCATCTGTCGTAAAATTCTTTTCTCTGTCGTTTGTTTGACAAGGGGTTGTTTTCCGCTTTATTTTCTCTTCTAGAAATAGCACTTATGACTTTATTCTTCTAGTAGGCCTAACTAAATATTTAGTTCTAAGAATTGTATCGAAAAGGCCCTCCGATATGATAAAATTGCTAACCAATTGGCCTGTAATTGGCATTATCTTCAGTTCCACAAAATCATAAAAGGCCTCTATTGGCCTACTCATAACAATCTAGACATTTTCTGTTTTATAAATAAAATATATTTTATCCATAACCATATCACCCTAAAAGATCCCCACCAATTTTATAATCTGTCATCGGTAGGGCGTAGCCTACATAGCCCTACGGAGCCTATTTTGAAGATGGCGTTGAAAAAGGCACTAAATCACCACCTTTCGTATTAATTCGAGCCCCCTTGAAATAGTCAACGACAAATAATAAGGGGAGAAATCGAGGAGTAGATATGTCTCCTTGAAACTTTCAACAATAACTTGACGATGATCGCGTTCCTTTCAATCAATTCATGGTCTTTAAATCTTATAAATATGAACCATATGGCGGTCGGATGTAAAAACGTGGATTGAATATCAACCATTGATAATGTAATAAAACGAAAATCAACCCGTTATTTTTCTTTCGAATCAAATATTTACCATTTATTGTTTGTTTTGTGAGGATGTGAATATTTTATTTTAATTTTGTTACCATGGAAATATTGAATATTGAAAACACGCAATGCATGTGCGTATTATTTGGTTACAATCATAACTAAATAGCTTTGGTTATTGATGAAAATGGTCAATATTCAGGTCATGTAAATTCGAAAATGATAAAAACAAAATATCAACACAGCACAACAAGGGGCATATCTTCACAATTTGTAAACTAAATAAAACTGGGTTTAACGTCCTACTATTCAACGCATCATTAAAATCAATATTCTCAAAATGATAGGCCTATAATTATTCATAGGCCTATATTATTATCTTTCATCGCTTTTTTCCAATCATCTACAACGGCCTTTTAAAACATACATCCGCGTTCGCCAAACACTATTTTGTTTTGTAATAATTCATGGCTGTTTGTCTGGTTGGAGTTGAAATTATTTTAACAAAGATCAGTAATATTAAAATGAAAAGTGTTAACTATTAGAACAGAAATGACGACTTTAACTGTAAAAGTTCAACAAAAATACCTTCCGTATTCCATTCTGCTGACTGAAACTTTTACCAGACAATATTCCAACACAGCTTAAACCACGTGCTTCTGTTCGAATGTAAACATGACGAGGGCGGGGCTTAATGAGTTGTCATCAAGCTCGTGGTCTCATGACAACTAGACTAATATTCATTCTAAAGCCCTCGTGTTTCTCATGTTTCAATTTCAATTATTGTCTGTGATAGGTTTGCCCAGCACACACATCAAAACGGCACTAATTCGCTGAAATTACCGTTGACCTTTTGAGCTGTTTGATTGGTCTAACAATAAAACGACTTCACTCCTACTAGTAGCGGGGCGGAGCCACGAGCCAACTGGGAACAAACGACAGATCTGATTGGTCGAGAGCGCAGCGCGTGTGGTACCGCCTACCTCCCGCGGGAGCTGAAATCGTCTGATGGGAATAACTGTTCGGAGGAGGGCAGAGGAAGGCAACAAAAGCCTTTACCCGGGAGAATCAGTAAGCAGACGTGTGGAAGACGTTGGGAGGAAGCTGTCCCAGGATAAACGATTCGCCTATAGCTCATTCGAGTCGACTATCAAGAGTAAACATCACAACCAGTTAGAGGGAAACTGTAGGGATCTAAAGCTGACAATAATACGACCCTTTTCTCTCCAATGACAGATTAATACACATCAGTTTTTACTAACAGTCGCCATATCTGTTTAACAGTTCCAGGAAATTTTGTTTTGTGTGGATTTTTTACTCTGTTTCTGTGCTAACATCAATGTGAGGAGTCAGTTTTCAACTTAGTTTTAACGAATTTGAGGTGTTTTTGGGTGGTGTAGTTTTCTGTATGTTCAATGTTTGTGACGGAACAAGAAATTGCCAACCCAATGAAAGAAGAGTCTTTATCATCACAGTTGTCAGCCGTCAGGAACTGGATGCAGCCGACAGTACTGGATCAAGGTGGCAGGTAAGAAAATAACATTTACAATTCTCCGATTGAGAGGTCCGAAAATTATAACAGGAGTTTGACAATTAGCGGAACGAATAGGACAAATTAGCTTTACGCTACATATTAATCGGTAATCGCCATGTTGGCTTCTTGCTGAAACCAAACAGAGGTTACTGATAATTCCATCTTACCTGTATATATCGTAATGAAATCGTAAAAACTCCATTAAAACGAATCAAAAACGATAAAATCGAACAACTATTTAAGTTGTGTCTGCAGCATACGGCAGACGGCGATTAAAGAATATATTTATTCTAATCCTAACGTGCAGTCGCCATGACTGTACATCAACCTGTCACTTGATGGGATCAGACGGGTTGTCCCATAGTGGCCGGGAATTCCCTACCCACGGGCTTTCATCATTACTAGTATTACCGACCTGTGATAGTCTGATTCCCCGGGGTCCTCATTAACTGCGTTGTATTATTCATAACGGGAACCTGTGTCCCCGATCGCGTATAAAAATTCCAAGCTCCATAAACCTGATTTACCAGTCAGCTTCCCACCGTCTCTCGCGATTCCTGAAACGTAGTTTTAAAACTCAAGCCATTTAGTGTAAACATAGGTACTGAATATTTTAGTTCTTGGCTGTGATGAAGGAATGAGGGATTAGACTCTTGAATTCGTGGATCAATTTTTCAATCCTCCGTTTTCTAATTGTAAACAAGAATTTTGTATATTATCTTTCAAAATCATTTACTGTTCAAATTTGACTTCATACCGAATCATTTGTTAAAATGTTAGAAATACGGTTTACAAAACTAATAAAAGCCTCGAAGTAAATAAATAATTGAAGAGTGAATCGCCGGCTGAACAACCTCAAAGCCTTCATTAGTTTTCTCAATTTAACAATTTTACAATCTTTTATTCTGCTTGGTTGACTCGAGTGATTTTAATTTAAGATTTTGGGAGAGAAAAGAGTTGATATTTTCCTTTTTAAAGAAACCATTTTGAATATTTCAACATCTAGTCAGTTAGTTATGTGGTTAGTTTGGACCTAATTTTTTGAATTTGGTAGCGACATTCCGTCCATTGAAAAAATATAATTATCTAAACAATCAGAATATAAATTGATTTTTTAATCCTGAATGGTTTTTACCTTTTGTTATTCGTTTTAAAACTTGTAACCCGTCTCGTTTTCTCGCTTGCCTGTTGATGTTTTTTTTAATGTCCTATAGATTGTATATTTGGTATTATAACAACCTCAAAGCATAGAATTTCTAATTAATTCGGATTATTAACTCAATGCATCTCTGCAATTTTATCTTTTTGTTCTTGACTAAGATAAATAAATTAATTCAATATGTTTTCATCATCGGAATAAAATTATAGTTATATGTCTGTCAATTTATAAGGACGTTAATATATTTAATCTTTCCGGTTCTCGGTACATCGTTTTCATATATCGCTCGAAGATGAATAAATTTCGACAACATCTTATTTTGTCTGTCTGCCATGTAAATATTTAATGAAGGCGGTCAATGCTTGAAGTGATAAAAGTGGAGACGATGCAAACTGGGTTTATAACCGGTAAAGGTAAACCGTTAAAAGGCTCATTGACCATATCCGGGAAACTGTGTCAGGTTGTTTCCGTGACGTTAATAATATATTGATGGTTTAATCCGCGAGAGGGGTATTAAAATGAAATAGAGTTTAACGTCCTACTGTTCTGCTTCAACTGGGCTAATGAAGACTTGATTTAGTAATTAACTTATAAAACTAGAATGCTTGGTCCGGATATATTTACTTTGTTTATTACACGACAACGTTTCGATAAGATTCCACAAATCGTTTTCTAACAAAAACCCAAATGATTGTTCTTCAAAAAATATCAGTAGAATTTTGTTGGTTACTTAATGAATTTATTGGTGCCGTTCCTAATATTAATAACGTTTTTAAAGTTATTTTTACCGTTCTAGGAATTAATTATATTCATATATTCCTGATTCTTAATATAAAATGATGGAATAGTCCGGGCTTTCTTTTAAATTCCAAGAATGATTATATTTTAAGAGTAAATATATTAAAACAGCTAACGATACCTCAGCACCGCTTGGAATCCATCTATATATATTAGTTGTTTTTGTTTATAAAGTTATCTCGGTTGACTGTATACAATAATTCTTTATTGCAAGTTTTGATATGTGTTACTGACCATTGATTCAGCTCTTCTGAGAAATTCTGAAAACAAAACTGAATCCGATACATGAAACTTGTTTGTTGCTCTGTTTGTTATATAGAACCATGGTTAATATCTTGAAGTATTTAAAATGTATTTAATATAATTGTAGGTTATTCAAGTATTGTTAGTACATGTCTTGTGTCTGCTACAATGACGGCCGTAACTAGCTCAGAGCAACGAGGGGGCGGGCAATGTTCTCTGTAAAATTGACGGACACTGTATATCTAGGGGGGTTTACGGTCGACAATATTTTCAGACGGGGGGGGGGGGGGCGAAAATTTTTGAAAGGGGCACGGGGGGGGGGGGGGCGAAACTTTTACGGGCCTGGTTACAATACATTTCAGCGGATTCTAAAAATTCCTTTTGGTTTCTCCATGAATAGGAGCGGGGCAGAGGCCCTAACAAAGAAACGCATAAAGTCCAATTTTTCAATTCATCATTTGTAAATACAGAATTGAACAATTTAAGGACTAGCATTCTTTTTAGAATCAAATACGTTAACTTTTACCCTGGAATCAACGTAATTAAAGTTTTACCTATTTATATTTTTCAGCGTTGGGTTGAGCCGCGCCCACTTTGAGAAGCAACCACCAAGTAATTTAAGAAAAAGTAATTTTTTCCATTTTGTTTTGGCTTTATACGATCGTCAAGGTCAACCAGTAGAAATAGAAAGAACAGCTTTTATAGATTTTGTTGAAAAAGATCAGGTAAGAAGACCTTTTTATTTAATCTGGTTTCTAGTGGGGGAGCAGAGGGTAGGGGGAGAAGGAGGTGGGGGATGTGGGGGCCAGGATGCTTTTTTGGCAGTATAATTTTGGTAAATTTTGAATAGTTCCGATTGAAGCAAAGGGCGGAGTGCCCGATTTTTTTAAATTGAAATTTTCGTTTGGCTGTCAAAATGAACTGATCCAAACGTCCTATAAAATGAGAAAACGTTGGGAATCAGTTAGGAATCACAATCGAATATTCAGCCATTTACTATCTGCAATAAAGATATTGTTTTTATTTTATAGTTAGATGAATCGCGCGTTCGTTTTAACTTTATTTTATAAAGCTGGTTGTTGCCATGGAAACATATTTGATTATTGAATCGACTGTATTTATGTTATGACGTAGTTTAATATATATATATATATATGTATGAACAAATTAGTAGGAATATCACGAGCTCGGAGAGACAATTCAAATGTTATATCCTACGGAATTGCTATTAATTAGAAATACTTTAGATAATTAATTAATTGATATAAAATATTCACCCTTTTATTGAGGATGCCATCTGTGTAGTTTGTTACCCGGTTTCCCGAAATACTTAACATAGAATTATTAGTATTCTGTCTTTAAATGACAAAATAAAAATGAAATATTCGGCTCCGATTGTGTTAATGAAGACGGACATACGAAATTCCGACCTCACAGCTACTCTACGGCCTGCTCTGATTTCAAATTCCAACTGTCAAGGGTTCTTTTACGTGCACGCCAATCTGAACGACTAGACAATGCTCTTGTAAGGTGCCCTGTTCTACACCACTGACAAAATTTCCCTCATAGCACACGGTATGTCCGTCTTCATTAGCCCAGAGAGAAGAACAGTAGGACGTTAAACCCCATATCATTTGTTTTGATATTAAACATGTAGATAATCCCTAAACATTTCCTATCAAGTACAACACAACAGACAGTTAACGTTTTTATTTTGTACTGTATAAAAATAGAAGGATTTGTCTAGTAATATAGCTACAAATATCGCGGATATTATCCAACGTTTTAAACTTTACACGGTTTCCTATTTATTGTCTATTTATTGTTATTTTGTTAGTGTAAGTGATTTGGACCTATCCTATTTACCAACGCGTGTAGGTTGAAACAAGTGTTTTCTGTCGGGTTAATGGTTATGGTCAGGCATATTTACCAGATTGTGACGCAATACAAAATATTGCACAGTGAGAAATTAAATGTGGTTGAAAAATATATAAAAATATGTTGATCAGTATTTGCGTTAACCGACCCCCCCCCCCCCCTGGTTTAGGCAGTCCCCCCTCTCTCTCTCTCTCTCTCTCTCTCTCTCTCTCTCTCACACACACACAAAATCACACATTGATGGCAAAATCGTCGAATTCAGACATAACTGTGGGACTGAAATTTGTTTTATATTATATTCACCTGTATATGCAGGTGAATAACTTTGATGTGGTATTGATACAGGTGTCAGACATCTTATTTACCTGTATTATACCAGGTAGAAGAATAGGTGATTAATACCGTGTTTTATAAGTAATTAAAGACAATAGAAACATAGATATTAAGTGATTTATCGATATATTACCGGGAAATATTACGTGATATTTCCCGCTATTTACACAGAAACAATTAATTCCATCAAATTACTCAACTGTAACAACTTCTAATAAAGATATGGATTTTTTTTTCTGCACGTTGTAAAAGTTGAACAGGTTTTCTCCGCCATATTGTTGTTGGTATTTTATTTATTCATGAAGTCAATGGTTAACAATAGAACTGTCTGATTACCGTCGAGTTCTACCCGGACTTTTAAACGTCATAAATTTCTTTACATTCAAGGGAAATGTCGCTGAATGTTTTTAATTTTAATAAATATGAATTTTTATATATTTAATAACTTTCTATGGCACGTTCATTGCCTGATGTATATTGTTATTAAAATAAATAAATAATAGAAATTAAACCACTTAAAGTGTAGATCATTATCTAATTAATACAAACTCACAAGGTCGAAATTCATACCTCCAAATACAATATTTAATTACGTAAAAATGAATAGATTAAAATGAAATATATTCTAACACCTCAGTCGTAAATGGATATTCACCTGAATTTGTGTAGTATATAGGGACTAGATTTATTAGAAATCAACAACCAAACATTAAAATATTATCGTGAATCATAAAATATCTTATAAGCAACCAAATATAAGTAATATACTAGGCCTACCTTTTTTTGTATTTGGGTAACTTGATTAAAACAAATCTATATATACATCGTAGGGTAAAGACATTTTATTGGAAAGGAGAATTAATTTAAATGATCTCTCGATGGAATGTCTCATTAAACATTTATCTATATTAAGTACAACGTTCCTTTATTTCGCCGTCATCGATCTCAGTTTTTTCAATCAAACGGAAGATCACGGTTAATGGGGAATTAGGAGTTTGCAATAAGCGGATACATGAACCGGAAATATTCAGATATTATTTTCCATATTTATCAAGTCAAGAGCAAGGGGTTTTCCTTGCTTGAAATAGTTTTCGACTTAAATGGAACAATGGCGCTGTTAGAATTTTAATATTTAATAAATGACTATGATATTGATCATACAGCCATGACGACAAACGCAGATGACGTAATCACTATATTTTAATGCCGGTGAACGCCATTTGAATTTTCAATGGCTTACCCCACGCTTAAATGAACCCAAACTGATGATTTAAATTCAATTAAAAGACTCCCCCACCCAAAAATAAAAATAAAAAGGCCGATCGAAAAATTTTGATGGCGCTGGATTTGATTGACGGCTTGATGTGTCATCTCATATTTTTGTAAATAGTGGACGGAATGGAACCAATGTTAGGTTGACATTTATTTTAGATATCCAACTTTCACAATTTTGAATAAATTAATATTTCGCTGACTCAAAAGAACTTTCAATAATTTGGCTTATAAACAAATACAAAAAGATTTCACGAGATTTTTTGAAATGTTTTAATTGATTTATTTCTCTTTATCTCCAGGAACACGAATCACAGAAAACCAACAATGGAATTCACTACAGATTACAACTTCTCTTCGCTAACGGTAAGCCATTGTCTTTATAAACACATATATTGCAACTTTGTTGATTTCAAAAGCAATTTGTATTCCTTGTCTTTATGCAACTTAAGGTCTATTTGTTGATTTCAAAACCAATCTGTAACCCTAATATAATAGTGTTATTTCCACCTGCAACACACTCGGTACGGCTGAATAACTGATTTTATCCTTTTGACACATTGAAACAAAACAACGTGATTATTGTCTCACCGTCTATTAAAATTGAATGATAATATATTTTAGATATAAAAGAAATTTATTAAAATAATACTTAGACTGCTGATCACAAATAAAGACAGTGAATTTATATAAAGAGTGAAAGTGATCATTCAATTAGATTCTATTCAATTCAACTTACAAAAAAGACATGGCATACATTGTTAGATTATACACGAATAGTTTTGTGTAATCTATGATCGCCATTCGATCGAATCAATCAACAACATTGATATAAAATCTGTTTGTATGGATATATTATTAGATTTGAATCTCGATTATTCAAGTTGAATGAATATGAACCAGGGGTGTTGATAAATAAAGACTGCGAGAGGTTTATTCCAGAATATGTATAATTTATCAGGACTTGGTTTCGCTCCACTTTTCTTAATGTAATTGTTTCTTGTTTATGGTAACTAGTTTAAAAGAAACATGCCTTTGCTGAATGTTATCGTGTTAATCTTTTGGAGAACTTGTCTTCTTTGTCTACGTATTGTTACGCAGGTTTTATTATTTCAAAAGGGGGTGATATCTGTTTTTGTTTATATTAGTCGAGTTTGTCCTCGACTACTTGACGTGTTGTGATTCTAAATTTAATATTTAATAATACAGAACAATGACCTTTTATTCAAAAATATCCCGATCCGATATACAAAAAGATAAAATTAATAGAGTAGAACTAAAAAAGAAAAGAATTCGCAGATAGAAAAATGACAGTTTGTTAGTTATGTAAAATCCTCAAATGAGACGGGGTATCGGGTGTTCTAGAAAGATTACGCATACCCTGTATCGTGTCCGACACCCGACAAGACTTACAGCTAGCTGGACGATTCTTTATGAATTAAAATTGATGCATGCGGTTGTATGCCAATTTATAAATAATAATAAATCTCTGTAGCACAAAAGATATATTCGGTGTAGGGGAGGGGAGGGGAGGGGGAGTGCAATGTTATATTCCCAACAAGTGCCCCCTTTTTTTGGGGGGGGGGGGGGGTCAGCTTGGCGTTGGTTCCTACCCCAACGTGTATCCCTTACACACACTCCGGACTTATAAACTCTGACTTTGCCCTCGTTTTTCCCCTGCTTTGCCTTTACCATAAAACGCGACCAGTTTCATAAAATCACGAATTGAAGATTGAAACTAGTTTGTTAAAAGCTTTTCATCCTAAAATCTTATTTTGTTTCACCCAATAATCACAAGAAACGATAATAACACCCGTATCACAACTAATTGACGAGATTTTCCAGTCAATTTTCATTCAATTAGTCCCCGGTTTCTCGATCAACCAGTCAATATTGTACTAATTAAGATCACGTGCTATTGTGTGTCGAGGATGTACGGTGTTTACCCAACATGCACGTGCTATATAATTAGCGACGGTGACCAACTGTCGTGTAATGTACGTGCTAACAATAGTTGTTACCGATAGATCCCTTCCTCCAATAAAACAAAACAATTATAAACGATCCCCAACCTATTGTTATTGTGTAAATTTATGATTTAAATTGTTATTGATTTGAAAGTAGTGATATTGGTATTATTTTATGAAAAGCAACCCGACCACGTCCAGTCATTGAAGACTTTAAAACATGTTATATTATAGTCATCTATAAACTTATTATATCTTACAACCCTACACATTTATCAAATACATGGATTAAAAACTCAAATTCTTAAATTGGTTGGTTGCCAAATTAATGCTTGTTTACGGAAGTGACGTAAGAATATCGTAAGCATAGGCGTACGCCCCCCCCCCCATTTTGGGCACTCAATTGTACTTTGTATAAGTTGTATAAAAAATATTGTGTTCTTGAATGTGTCCAATTTAACAGCGAATTTATTATTATTATGTAACATACTAAGAACCTAACTAAATTGTTTGGGCACCAACCACCACCGCCCCCCAGGCAAAAATTTCCCCGTACGCCTATGATCGTAAGTAAAAGAGCTGCCTAAGGTGTTAAAATTTCTAAATTAATATGCATTCAACATTTATTTAGATCAACTATATATATGACGTATTCCAAGTTGTATAGACTTATTACCGATGTATAAAAACAGATAATTTGTAGGAGATTATAAATTTCACCTCGACTTCTTCCAAACAGAGAAAGTTATATTTAACCCGACAGATGGATATCGTTAAACTACCTTGTTATTATACTATAGCCATCTTTCTAAAGGATTAAAGACCCCCATCCCCTCCGCCACACCCCCTCTCCCTCCCACTCTCTGTAATTATAACACGAGACCTCAGTACCAATAATAGGTCTTCTATACTAAATATAGACGGCCATTTGTCACAGGGGCATTATACAGTCACCATTTCGTCAGAACTTCAAAGGGTGTATAGCGTTTTATTCTCGGATATCATGGCGGCGGAAGTAAGAGAGGTTATTACCTAATAGGATTTAGGACTGGATAATCGTCAACTGATGAAGCCATGTCACATTATTCAATAATGATTGACCTAATGATCTAAAGCGTAAACTTCCCACCATTCTAAAAGATAAATAGATAAAATTAAATTAAAAGTATATGTTTTGCTAAAATTTAGGCGATTTGACATCAGGAAATGTAAGTTATTGGATAGAAACATATAATAGTAAATAAATAAGCACTATATTAGAAATAATAGTAAGTACAATTATACAAGACAAACCCACGGACACAACATTTGAAACAATAAACAACAAGCATATATGTATATAAGATGAAATGCCTAGCACTAGAACCCTGGTATTATCATATTGTACTCGCTATATGAGGGTTGAATTCTATAATTTACAAGCCAACTTCTGTTACTGATAAATGATTAATAACTCAGTAACTGGCTCACACAGAAATTTTCATCAAGCTAAAAGCCTGCTTCGTTCCGCTTCAATTCAATTCAATGATTTTATAGTTAGAATGCGCATGGTGCTTACACTGAGGTTCGCTATGTCAGTGCCCGTTAATCTAATGATGTATTAATATTACAATAATAGCAATATGGGAATTAATATTATTTTACTACAATAATATAACAATAGAAAGGGCTTTTATATCGCTCTTGTATCTCATAATTACCACAGAAATACGATCATTAGAAAAATAGACGCGTGGAAAATGGCGATATTGAATAGCAGGCCTATACCAGAAAACCATTCAATAAAAACAGAATGGATTCGTATTTGATTTGGTCCTCAATAGATTTATTTTTTGTAGGTAAATATTAGATGAATAACTGTCATTAGATTATTTAAAAGCTGGGCGTGTACGACACATCTAGATGTAAACAAATATTAAATGAATATAAAAACTACTTTTATTTTCGTTCTCTATGCTTGTCGTTTCTACATTCTATTAAAATATTCGGTCTGACTATGGAAAGTGTCTAGTCGTTCGGAGGGGACAAAAAAACGAGATCCCGTGTATAACATTGGCAGGACGTTAATGCTCCACTGGTTAGAGAGAGAGAGAGAGAGGGAGAGAGAGAGAGATTTGGTTTAACGTCCACTCGACACAAACTAGGTCATTTCGGGACTGGTAGAAATAAAAATAAGAGTATGTCGTAACGTTTAGGTGAAGTCCACGTAAAAGAACCTCGACAGGTTGAATTTGATGAGAAAAAGACGGAAACGTCGCTGTCCAGGGAACATGTCACATTGATCCGCAGTGAATATTCGTTAGGCCGCTACAATCACTTATAGGGATGACATCGGTTTGGGTTAATTAGCTCACGACATTAACCTTTTTCCTTCCGAAAATTAAATTCTAAAACATATTTTTTACGTACTAGAAAAATAAATAAAGGTGTTTGAAGTATATCTGGATATATTTTTGTTTAATGTAAATGAGTATATAAAATGAGTAAAAGGCACCATTCTGCCCGGACCAGTTCACGCTCACAACGTCTTATGTAAACAATGCTCGCGCCATTGGACCAATGATCGACGACTCTTGATGTGACGTCACATTATAAGGCAGCCATCTTATACAGAATTATAAGAATACTTTCGCAATTCCTTTGCGAAACAGATTGGGATAACGTTTGTAACAGCACAGTGCATGAAGTGAGTTTGTCTTCTTTATCCCGGCTGGCACAGCAATGTAAGGGGTCGAATCCTATTTATTTGTTTTACCAAACAAACAAGATTTATTCTTATAATAAAAACACGCCTTCGACCAGAACACGTGGTACCACTTTTACTCACGTCACCCGAGACCACTACATTTCTTTAATAAAATCTTACGCAGAAGAAAAATGATTAAATATTACAGCTTCCCAAAAGAGGTATAAAGTAAGTTGTGCCATGTGTACGACACTGGTCTGTGTTGTATTAATTAAATAATAATAATATATATTTGGTGTGTTGTAGGTGTACGACAAGAACAAGATATATACGTACGGCTTATTGATTCAGTTTCTAAACAGGTATGTTACCATGGTTACTGTCGGCATCTCTTTCATCTCAATTCTTACACAATTTATCATTATCTATTGTTTTTATCAAACTTTTCTCACGATTCTAGAGAGCCGAGTTTACCACTTTCAATTTAGGACTTTTTCATGTATTTTACTGTGAAGTGATGAAACATGGCACGGTTTCTATTTATAACCTAAATTTGATATTTATTGGAAAGGAAATTGGATTTATATTATAATATTTTTAGATAGTAAACAATTTGTGTCTTCTTTGCATTTTAAAAGAATTCATCAAATTTGATAAATTGAATAATACGAGTATTAGTTAAACTTTCACCTTGACCTTTGATATTTCGATAAATTTATAGTTGAACTTTCAACGATGACCTTGGAGTTTAATGTGACCTTTGACCTTATATTTTAGGCTATTATATACGAAGGTCAGGATAAGAATCCAGAAATGTGTCGAGTTTTATTAACCCATGAAGTTATGTGCAGGTATGTTTTAATATTTTACTTTTATTGTGGAAAATTTATTTTTAAAAGAAAACAAATATTATATTATTTTTAGTTCACGCTAGAGTGTGCTCAAATTTGTTATGTATCAGTGATACATCATCTTTGATTCAGTCTGATTGAAAAGAGGTCACTGGTTCGATCCCGGTGTTGGTCGAGAAAGTTCATTGGGATTTTCCGGCGTGGTTTCCCCTTGTCAGTGGTGCAGGACGGAGGGCCTGGCAGGGACAGCTGTCTAGTCTTTCGGTGGGATGAAAAACCGAAGTCCCGTGTACACATTGGCGTGCAAGTAAATGATCCCTCGACAGTTGGAATTCGATATAAGAGTAGGCCATAGTGCCTCTATCGGGTAAAATTTCCATCATAGCACCCAGACCTAGCAGAACAGCAGGACGTTAAACCCTAATTCAATTAATTTTTGTTAAACTGTAAAAACAATGAAAAAATCAACTTTGTTTTTTGTATTTTAAAGCCGATGTTGTGACAAGAAAAGTTGTGGAAATCGAAACGAGACGCCATCAGATCCAGTTATTATAGACAGGTAAGGTCAATTCATTTTTTTCTATTATTAGTTAATAAATAGGTCAGGAGAAGTGTTACTCAGCAGACAGACATAACAGACAATTCACAGAGCTATCATATATACACTAAAAAATATAACAAACGAACTGTTGTGATGAGAAGCCTTTTATGGCAAGTTTTATCAGCAAATCTTGTCTGCGATACTCCCATAGGTGAAAGCAGATGTTAATCCCCATTTAGAATGAGGATTTATTTGTGACATTCATCCATTCGAGACCATGTTTTTAAAGCTCACACTGTTATAAATTATAGACTAGTGTAAATGTGTATTAATTCCTTTGGGCCTTTTTAACTGATTACTGATTGGTACAGTTTGATTTTTTGATTTGTAAATATTATATAACAGTATTTATTTGAGAATTATCTTTAAGAATGCTCAACATTTCTTGGGTCATTGCTCAGAGTAACTAATTTTTGTGCTTATTCAATTAGAAAATATTCACTTCCTGAACTCGTTAGATATTATACAGTTACAACAAAACACATACTTATGGAAAACAGCTACTAGTGTATTTATTATACAGTTATTGTACATACATAAATACACGATTCCCCAGAAATACATAGTTACAATGTTATACTTGGATTATAATAACCGATCTCTTAGTAACAACGCATGCGCACTTCACATCTATATTACATTGAAATATCAAAATAAATCTTTATAAAGAAAACATGTCGCTTAGTTAACCCTAAACACTTTAAACACTGACTTCTGTCGTGGAATACTGTCGACAGGTGTCGCTATTCTGTGGGATATCAGGACCCCTGGTGGTAGAGTCGAACAACATAGAGTAAGATGTGTGTTCTATTAAGACCGTGCTTATTGAAGTGGTAATTCCTAGAGTCGAGAGGTTAATATCAAATTATTCCGATCGAGACGTCCCACCAAGAGTAATAATAAACAGCCATTAAATGTCCGGATATCCGAGAACCGTTTGTTCCACTCCATTTACAATGACTAATTATTGTTTTCTTTGTGTCTGGATAACCGGTGATTTAGCGGGTAAATTATAGAGTTTATAAAAGCCAGGAGAATGCCTGTTAATCGAGATATTTGGACGTTAAATTAGATATTTTCTCATCAAAGTCTGGTTAATAATTTCCTTTAGAAGAAAATTTAACCAAGATAAAACACATTAATGACTCTGATTTTATTTGACATTCGGCTTAAATTTTCAGATTTCTTTTGTGTTTTTCTCAGTCTTGTGTTTTCCCTAGTTTTGTGATTTTTCCAAGTTTTCGGTTTTCTGAGGAAAAAAATGAGTTATACGTAATTATTAATTAACAAACTAACTTAGAAAATGAAAATTATAAATGGATTATCAAAAAAAATGTTTTTGATGTCCTTGATAAATTATTTCAATGAACAGAGTTCTATGGTTACGCCGTCGTTATTATCCCAGTCGGAACAGAAAAGTAGGACGTTAAACCCTATTTGATTTTATTACTATGGTAACAGTTACTGCGCGACGCTTCTGCTAACACGCTCTAGTCTTTATCAAACAGTAATACTCCCATAAAAACTGTTTGGATCATAAACCGAACACAACAGACTACATAGACCACAATTCTGGACTTATGTAGCACTTGAACTATCAACCAATAGAAGCCTTTTTTTTGCAAGTTTCTTCAGAAATAATTGCCTGCGATATTCCCCTCGGTGAAAGCAGACGAATGAGGATTTTTGTATGTGACATTCACACAGTCTTTTTTTTAATATTTTGATATACATATATTATTATTGAAACAGTAGCGATACATGTTTCTCCGGAAAGACTTGTCTGCGATATCCTGATCGGTGAAAGCAGACGTAAACCCCCTAGCTAGAATGATGATTTGTGGTACTATGATGATATGGTTATAACTAATATTAGATGTTGAAATAGTAAGAATCTAGAGACAGTCGAGAATAATAACTAATGATACTAGTAGCAGGTGTTCCTTACAGAAATAACGACACCCACCATTTATACGTCACAACATCCAGACATTAGTTTTATAGTTGAAATAAAACCTAGTATATTAAACCAACCATCTCTATGACGTCACTCACTGTAAACAAACGCTGTTTTGGTAGGCAACCAATTTAACAATTCGAGTTTTCGGACATTTTATTTGGGAAATGTGGAATTGTCTAAGATTCTATAAGTTTATAGACGGCATTAATATAGTATGTATTTAAATTCTCATGCAAATAAAGTAATAGCAATAATATTGCCACTTTAAGAGAATCAAATGTTGTTACCCATGTTTAACCCATGCTCTTATTGTTGAGCAACTCCTCGGAGCAATGACGTGTCATTGAACGGTTAAGAGTTAAATAATGTAATAGTTTAGTTGTTGATAATGGGACCCGTTAACATAGCATGTTGTTAATAATCGGATAAGTTAACTCAGTTTAAAGCGAGATGACTACAAGTGACGAGTTAAGTGAATCAAGTAGGCTTTACCGCCGCTTTAAATATTATTACTGGCTTCAAGTGGTCTTACGTTCACTCACCAGGCTATTTTATCTCCCGTCATTCACCACTTTCTATCAGACCATCTCATTGGTTCAACTATCTCTGAATTAACCAATGGAGTATACTGTTAATCCAAAACGTAGAGAGTAATAGAAATGAAATGAAATGAGGTTTAACGTCCTACTGTTCTGCTCCTAACCTGGGCTAATGAAGACAGGCATACGCCATACAGTGTGCTATGAGGGAAATTTTGCCCGGGCAGCGGCACTATCGCCTACTCTTATATCGAATTCCAACTGCCAAGGGATCTTTTACGTGCATTCCAATGTATACACGGGACCTGGGTTTATCGTCTAATCCGAAGGACTAGACAGCTGTCCTTGTCAGGCCCTCCGTAATATTTGCCAAATAGAATAATCTGTTAATTTTAATTTTAAAAACCAATAACGATTTGTAAATTTCGCATGTTGCGTTATTTAATTCAAAAACGTTTGCTAAATTTCACATATTATTACAAAAGTAACTTAAAATGTTTATCAAACGAAACAGCCCCAAACGCAACCGCAACCGCAACTCACCAGCAGTAGAAGTATAAATTAGTTATTAATGTCCAGCATGCAATAAATCTTCAGACATGTCGGATATGAATTCAAACATTCAGAATATGACTGAAATTTTTCATCTAATCATATTGCATTATCTATTTTGCTGGCGGGGGGGGGGGGCTGTCATTGAGTCAACTGGCGTGGTATTGATTCCCCGGTTGTACGTGACAAGGAGTAGGGTCGCCCGTCCACCCTCGTGGGTTTTTTTCTATTATAACAATAGAGGTCAGCTTTTTTATCTAATCGGTCATAATGTATCTTTAATAAGACAAATTTTTATATCTAGAACGGCCAGCTCTTTATCTAATAGTTCATAATGTATCTTGTCAGCTGTCTAATTGTTCGGATGGGACAAAAAATTGAGGTCCCGTGTAACATTGCCTTGTACGTTAAAGATCCATTGGCTGTTGGAATTCGATATAAGAGTAGTCCAAAGTGCGGCTGCCCTGTCAAAATCTCCCTCATAGCACACTGTATGGCCTATGTCCGTCTTCGTTAGCTTAGCCGGAGCAGAACAGTAGGACGTTAAACCCCATTTCATTTGATCTCGCCTTTAAAACAACAAGAATAATCATTACTTATTAAATGGTTATTTAACTGAAGAAATAGATCTATTTTTCATTCATTAGTTATTCACTGATTGTCAACTAAATCTAATCCTTTAGTCGGCTGATTGTAAAATATTTGTAGCCGCCATTCTCGTCAGCCATCTTCAGGGAATTAAATATATAGGCCATCACTTGCCTTATATAGAACTAATCCACTAGAGAGATCCAAGTCTAAGATTGTTACTATTCTTATTTCTCACTCAAGGTGTTTATAAATACTGACAGAAGACAGACTCGAACAAATAAAGGTATTTTTAAAATACACGTTAAAGAATGACGTGAAGGAGAGATTTATCCATACAAAAAATAAATCGCGCTCATAATTGAATTAAATTATATTGTAAGGTTTATTTTAGGACGGTTAAAAAAACCAGAACACGTGGTACCACTTGTTTAACTGGTGAAACAGAAAAAACAATCCTTGTGGTAATTTACTCAAAGTTTTTGGAGATTTATCAGCCTGGTCTCCCCCTTGCCAATGTCGTGTCTAGTTGGTCGGATAGGGCGATAAACTGATATTCCGTGTACAACAGATATCCCCAGGCAGTTGAAAATCGGGAAAAAAAGTAAACCGTAGCGGCTCTATTTCCGGACTTGATGCCCTTGACTATCCCGGTTCATCCAAACGAGTCAAGCGGTAAACCTCAATTGATTCGCTTGTATTGATATCGTCCATAGGATTCTGTTTCGTGCCCACCAGTGAGTTTCCATTGTACTTGAGTTTATTATTGACTTCATTTAAAGTTCATCCATTCACGTATAATTCCTACCCATTTTTTGTCTTCAATCTGCAATAATCGCTCCCAAGAGACCCCGTTCAGATTGATAATTTCTTATTGTTTACCACAATGACTGGTCCCCTGTGGTTTTAAAGAAATAATTCTTAGAATAAATAGAAAACTATTTACTTTTATAGAACAGTTCTGTAATTTTCAGAGTGGTATTAAATATATTATTATTATTCAATCGAATTAAAATACAAATCTATATTTCGTTTCTTTGTTTATACTTTCGATGGCCTACACTACATGAAGATCTGACCAGTTGTAGTAGAAGGTCGCGTCAGGTTCATACGAGCGGATTGTGACCTTATGACGTTCGATGTTGATTATTCAATCAGCGTTGACGTTTCTACTGGGTTATCCATAGTTCTTTGCCCCTACTTTCCATGAAATGTATACCTCCTTGAATGTATCGAAACCAGCCAATACACCAGCGCCAACAACACCTCAGGATATTTGCCCAAGCTCCCCTCATCATGCCACCTAGAACGCAGGTTAT